AACTAAAAGAGAAGTAGTTAGAGGAAAATAACACCACACAATTATCAGCTTGACTCTCCAAATTGCCCGTTAGTGACATTTGCTCCTCTGAAGCTCACGTTTCCAAGGGCAACCCTTCATCAACCTGCGTGGATCCACACCACCTCTAACACAGACAGGTCGTGACATCCTGACATGGATCCTCACCCCTGCCAACACCTTCAGCCTTTGGAACGCTGATACTGTATGTCCTGAAACACACATGTGCACATCCACACACAGAAATGTCTCCCCTGTTTAGCTGAAAAGTTGCATAAGCTGTCCAAAAGTGTGTTTCTCAGAGGTAATGTGTGGAAGGAAGAGTGGCCTGCTCATATATCTGTGAGGGAACGGTTCGGTAGCTGTCTCTGATCTGTCTTTGGGTCAGAAACACTCACCTTATTTACTATGCTTAAGAAAATTAAGACAAACAAGAGCTGATGAGGTTTATTTAGCAGAAATAAATGTCACCTTTCCAAAAAATTTTAAGTCATTACAGTAGAAGAACTGCAAAACTTTTTTTTCTGTTTTTAGAGGAAGCCAAATGCTCCACACTCTTCTAACACTCTCTATCCTCTCCTGCATGCAGACCAACCCTCTCCAGGGCTCCTCTCGTTCTTTGCTGGACAGACAGCACCATCATGTGGTCAAAGGCAGCACTGCATCTGCAGAATAAATTAAATACACTCTTTATATCAGCAGACCGACAGTGAACATAGTTCAATAGCATTTTATTAATAAGCTGCTAAAAATTAATCAAATGAACATTTTTATAAAATTTTATTATCAAGTCAGTGAAATTTAAGGGATGTTTCTCTGATCTGTTAAATAATAGAGGGGTTGTTACTCTGAGCCAGCTGTTTTGACAAAGGGTCAACAATGAAACAACCAAAAAAAGAAAAACGAAAAACAAAGATAGCTTCCATATGAAGGTCACCAACGTTCTTTTTTGATTTTCAGAAGTTTTGCATGTGACTATTGGGTCTGTCGGTGTTGGAGCCTGGTGATACATGGATCCTTCAGATGTTACGTCTTCCACCAGCACCCGGATGGAACATTAGTGTGTGTCATGACCAGGAGTTTTGCTGTTTCTCCCAGTACAGTCTCAAGCACACGGAGATTCCAGGAGACCGTTACTGTAGGAGAGCTGGGCAGTGCCATCATAGGTCCTTAACCTAAAAAGAAAAAAGAAAAAGTGGTTCAATATTTTAAGTTTTCCCTGCAAAAATTTGAAAATGTTATTAGATAAATGATAAATTTACAAGAAACAAGATAAATTGGTATGCAACAAACTAATTGCCCTTTGGAACCAATGAAGTTTTCTGAATCTGAAAAATATAGTACAATATATTATCAACTGAAATATAACAAAAATATTTTCCCTGCAAAAAGGAGAAAATGTTATTAGATGAATGAGTACTTACATGAAATATCAATAAGAAAATGTGGCCCAATATTAAAGTTTTACTTGCCAAAAAACTAAATGGGGTCCAATTATGAAGTTTTCTCGCAAATAAATGAGAAATGTGGTCCAATATTGAAGTTTTCCCTGCAAAATTTTGAAAATCCATCCATCCATTCATTATATTCTGCTTATCTGAGGTTGGGTTGAGGGGGCAGCAGCCTGAGGAGAGGCCCAGACTTCCCTCTCTCATCCACTTGGGCCAGCTGCTCCAGGTGAATCCCAAGGCGTTCCCTGGCCAGCCAAAAAACATAGTCCCTGCAGTGTGTCCTGTGTCTCCTTTAGGTCTCCTCCTGGTTGGACAACCCCAGAAAACCTCACTCAGGAGGCATCTTAACTAGGTGCCTGATCCACCTCAACTGGCTCCACTCAATGTGGAGGAGCAGCGAATCTACTCCGAGCCCCTCCTGGATGACTGAGCTTCTCACCCTATCTCTAAGGGAGAGCCCAGCCACTATGCGGAGAAAACCCATTTCAGCCGCTTGCATCCGTGATCTTGTTCTGTTGGTCACTACCCAAAGCTTATGACCCTAACCCTAACCCTGGACTGAAATTCCTCAAACAGATCATTAGAGTTTAGATGCTCACATACTTGGTTGGCCATTATTTTCTCCAGGACTTTGGATAAAAATGAAAGGTTAGATATTGGTCTATAATTCATTGGGTTATCTGGATCCAGAGAAGGCCTCTTAAGTAAAGGTTTGATTACAGCGACCTTAAAATCCTGTGGTACATACCCATTTACTAAGGATAAATCAATTCTATCTAGAATGGGGGCAGTAACCAAAGGAAATGCATCTTTAAATAATTTGGTTGAGATTGGATCTAAAATGCAAGTTGAAGGTTTAGATGAAGCTAATATTTTCGATAACTCTGAAAGCTCAACTGGATCAAAACGGTTCAAACTAGGGGTTGTATGAACTAGTCGACTAGTCGACTTCACGGCTCTGTAGTGACGTTTTATGCTTGTCATCGACTAGTCGCTGTCACGTGATAATGACTGACAAGATGCAGTCCTCGGAAAAGACAGCAGGTGATGAGCCCCTGCGTTGGGAGGCGGAGGTGACGCGCTGTGCCAGAGCGTCGGTACTGACACCAGCGGTAAAACGGACATTTAACCAAACTGTGACCTTCCCCTCACCCCCATCCTAATCTTAACCAGTTTGCCATGCAAAGCTCTGATCGTTGATGCGCTCCAGACATCTGCGTCCTGAGCACCGCCAAATCAGGTGTCAGCACCTCAAAAACTAATTAAACACGCGATCGTTCATGTCGGCTCATTTCCTTTAATGTTTTCTGTCTGTTATTTGTGCCTGATGCGTTTCGCTGCTGCGGAGCGAGGCACATCACCTGTTTTGTTCTCCGGTGACACCCCCCCCCCCCCCCAAAATTCCACTATCTCCGCTCCGGCACGAACTCCGCAGCAAAAACGGTCCCGTTGTAGTCGGCCGGCGAGCAGCGGCACTCCACTGTTTTTCTTTAGGATTGAGAGGAGATGCAGGAAGATAATAAACAGACAGGACAGAAAAATAGTCAAATAAAAACAAGTTTGTTTTTGTACCTGGTGGATGCAACAAACAGACACCACTGAAGGTAATCAGAAGTGAGGAACAGAAGATGAAATAATTATTTTAATGTTAAGAGCAGCAGGAAAGGCTGCAGGCGCATCAGTGAGTTTGCGGCCACTGCGCAGGGGGAGGTGGGAGAGGGCTGAAGTAGGATGCAGAAAGTACCGTTGTTAAAAGAGATGTGTTAACTTAGAAAATGTGGGCACAATTTTAATTGTCAAAAACTCCAGCGAACCTACCGCCCCCCGCCGCTTCAGGTGTATGACGTCATCAACGACTAGTCGAAGTCGACTCGATTTTCATTACTTGGCTGTCGACTTTTTAAAAAAATTAAGTCGTGCAACCCCTAGTTCAAACACAGATGAGGTCCTACAGTTACCTCTGATGCTGCCTCACTTACCGAGGAAGAAAAATTTGCATTAGAGAGGATGCTAATGATTTTGTTTCTAATATAATTAATTTTACTCATGAGCAATCCCATAAAGTCATTGTTGCTGAGGGCTAAGGGAATAAATGGTTCAGAGCTATGAATCTCTGTAAGTTTGGCAACTGTACTGAAAATAAATTTAGGATTCTCAATTACCAATGAAAAATAAGCAGTTCTAGCTTGTCGAAGCTTATTTTATAAAGTACTAGACCACTTTTCCAGAATAAGTAGGACTCCTCCTGATGTGTAATGCCATTGTCTCTCCAATATCCTAGAGTTCTGTTTTAAAGTACATAGATCAGAATTGAACCAGGGAGCCAACTTCCTGTGCTCAATTACCTTCTTTTTTAAAGGGGCAGCATCATCTAATGCCACACGTAAAGAACATTATGAACTAGATCGTTAATTTGTGAAGGGCTAGAAATTGTCCACTGCTAAGTTCTTCTGACATACTGAAGACCGTAGATGGAATAGGTGATTTAAAAGATGCAACAGCGTTGTCAGAGTTCGACTATAGTGAAATTTACTTTCATGTCTAAAGAAGTTATAATAAACTCAAAGGTAATCAAAAAGTGGTTAGACAGATTGTACGGAAATACTTTTACCTCAGTGGTCTTGTCCCTGTAGCTCCATGTTGGTACACACATAATTTAAATCACATTTAACTTTTAAATTCTACTTTCGCTTTTGTCATTTAAACTCTACAATTGTGACCAAAACAAACATATCTGCTCTGCATTCTCCAGTGAAGAGGGCAGAAACACTTTGTTAAAACAAACAAAAAATACATTCTCATACTAACAGTGTGAGCAGCTCAGTGTGAAAAATGACAGTTTAACTTCCTTTATTAGCAGCAATTTCTTTACTGATGAGCAACCGTTTGGAGGCAGAGCAGCACACACTCTGCTTTCCTTTTGATTTACAGAATTGGCACAAACAAAATACAAATTTACAACTGTGCTCAATACTGACTGTAAACACAAAATAAGATATGATACAAACTCAAGAGATTTTTCTGCAGTTTCTTTAAGTTTAGGACAGGAAATACTTTTTTATTCATGATGACATACTGTTAGTTTAGAAGGAATTATTTCTCTCATTTAGGTGTGGAGGAAGTCAAAAATCTTCAAGAAATTGAAAGACAAAAATATTTGATTAGTCAAGAAGGAAAAAAATCTTAAATGTTTAAACATGAACAATAAATAAGGTGATAAGGGTCATAGTGTTTGTACTCTGTGATTGATAACAGACTTCTGCCGTTTACAAACAGCTGAGGTGGAGTTTGTCTCCCCCTGCTGGTTGATAGTATCAGAACTAATGAGGAAGAGAAGCTTTCCAGATGCCTGCAGCTTGATCCAAGTCTGCATCTGTAAATACAGAAAATAATTCCTCCTGACCAGCTGATGATTTATACAGTAAAATACAGTAACAACTGGAGAAAGTGCAAAATTTTATATTTTACCATGAAAAGCTAAAAGTCATCAGTTTGCTCAAAGCAGAAGCGTTACCTCAAGAACCGATGATGTAAACGACTAATGTGTTTATTTAAGAAACTATTAATAATTTCACATAAAGACGACACAATTATACTTATTACAAATAATACATGAAGTATGCAGAAGTGTAATAAATGACAGATAATTACAGTCTGAGTGGTGATAAAAGAAACCACTCCACCTCCTGCAGCAAACTGAACTTTATGTGAAAATTAAAAACAACCGAGTGACATCTAAACATAGCAGTCAGATCCACTCAGCCACAGGACACCTTCTGGAGACAAATACAAGTTTGAACTCCTACACAAGATTCAGAGTAAAATAAAACAATACAGATTAACATAAGGCTGCAAGAGTTCCAGGTGAGACAGTTGTAAGGAAACAACGATAATAAACGTTTATTCCAACTTCATCTCAGCTTCATTGGGTGTCTGCTCCAGAGACCAAACTTTAGAGGGTTTCCAAATCAGTTTAGTCAGAATGTAAACATAAGACACAGGAACCATGCGTAATCTGGCCAGAAACACACAGATGAAACAATATCCTAACTTATCAAAAACAGATGTCTGACATACTTGATGTCAAAAACTGACATTAAATATGTCCGTGTGAACCAGAAATCTAAACAGATGAAGAAGCATTTCTGATCTGATTATTAACCATCATAAAACTCTAAGTTCACAAAAGGTTAAACCTCAGGTAAACTGACTAAATGTGAGGAAAATGTGCAAAGGGAGGGTTTCTGAAGCACTCTAAAACCTACAGTTAAAAGAAAGCTAAATCTACTCTTGGCTTTAAAAGCCAACAGGGGTGACGTAGAGAACCAACGGGAGCGCCTGGACAGCTGGACTCATGGAGGTGTCTCCATGTTATTAGAAGTCGTCTTTTTCTTTACAGGCTTCTTCACCGTCTTCTGTTGTGACTAGAGGTGAGAAGACAAGCAGGTGGTGGGCTTAGGGGTCATTCTGAATTTGGAGCAGATATTTGTGTCTTTCTCTAGTCCTACCTCCGTCTTCACAGCTGCAGGTTTTTTTGTTGTTTTTGTGCTGGTGGCACGTTTGGGAGCTTTGTCTCCTACGTCGTCATCAGAGTGTTCAGTCCTCGTGTCCGACTGGTCGGAGCTGTGTTGAGACGACGTGTCTTCAGTAAGAGACGCAGCTACCGAAGAACGGGCTGCAGGAGTGGAAAAGATCGTGTTAAGAAAGGAACAACTAGAAAGTTGTCATTCACCAGAGGATCTGATTTTGCTTGCGCGCGCACACACACACGCAAAAAACACGCGCACGCGCAAACACACACACACACACACACACACACACACACACACACACACACACACACACACACACACACACACACACACACACACACACACACACACACACACACACACACACACACACACACACACACACACACACACACACACACACACACACACACACACACACACACACACACACACACACACACACACACACACACACACACACACACACACACACGCACACGCACACACGCACACACACGCGCGCGATATCAGCAGTGAGGAGTCATATCCGGAATCCCGTGCTAACTCTGCAATAAAACACACACAGGAGAAACCAGATGCCAACTAAACACAAGAACAATAGAACATAGAAAAGAGTGTGAGAAAGAAACAAGTCAAAGACACACGAGAGCAGCGACACAGGAAGCAGAAAGTACAATAAAGAAATCAGTTGTAATAGACCACTGCACAAGAGAGAATCATATAATGCAAACACAGAACAACAAAAATACAAAAGATGGATCAAGGACGCCACAGAAATGAGACATGGACACACAACCATGAACAGAGACAATGGGGTCTACACATTGGATAATGCATGGGACTGTGTTAGAGGACGACCGATATATCGATCGGGCGGTCGATATATTAAATTTTTCTATATCCGCCATCAGCTGAAATTATCTTTAACAGAAAATTTAAAAAAAACTTCTAGACTAAAGAAAGGACCGGAAGAACCCCAACACACTGGTTTCTCTTCATGCTTTGAGTTTGTTTTATATTTTAAGTTCAATAAATATTTAGAGATGTATTGGCTTATTTAATTTATATAGCCTACTGTGAGTGTTCAGTTGTCTTTCACAATGTGCTGCTAAAACGTATATCTATCGGCCTAGCTTTAGATATCTGTAACAAAATCCTTTAAAAGTTGGTATCGGCCTTAAAAAATAAATAAAACATATCGGTCGGTCCCTAGACTTTCATCAGCGAGGTGAATGCATCGACATGGGTGAATGCAGGCAGCAGAGGGCAACACCGTCCTCTGCTGCCTGCGGGTAAATGGAGGAGGAAGTGACGCCACCAACATCGACACAGCTCTGAGGATGGTTAAAGTAAGCCGAAACGTTAGCAAACCAAGGTAAAGAACAACTTTTTATTTTCTGTGTTTTAAAGATATTGGCCAGAGGCAAATTTCCTTTGAACGGCATGTGTGAAGAAGTATTAAAACCTCAGATGAAAAAGGTTTGGGGATTTTCACAGCTGGAATTTTAAGAAAAACTGATGTTTTTGACCGGCGCGGGAAAAACAGAAACCAACTTCCGGTCTAAGCCCTGGGCAGCTGGTGACGTTTCACAAGGAGATCTGCTGAAACAGCTGTAGAAAACAACCCCCGACTCCGGTGTTCCTGCGTTATAGTTAAAGCAAAGAACAATGTGTCATTAGTCAGATGTAGCTTCTGAAGCCTCTGCTAGGCGGTCAGATTAGGTTTTTTCTCTGGGATACGGCGACGAGAACAGATATTAGATTACCGAAGTTCAACCGAACTCCGATCCCACCAGCTGGATAGCTCTACCGGAGGTGCAGACATGTTTCAGAACGTTTGACTCTGAAGATCCGATTTGAACATCGAGGTGAATTCTGTTCAACTTCAGAACCAAAATTGATACAGTTTGTTTACTTTTGTTAAATATTTCATTTCTTTGCTCCACTGGGAGCTCTAAGCTGACGAGTTCTCAGCTGGTCTTAGCTCCATCATGTGTCCCAATATAGTTCAGTAATCTACAGATATGTGTGCTGCCAGTTTTACCGCTCCACATATACATTGATATAACTCTGGAAAATATATAACTAATAGCTCACCAGAATAAATCTTCCTGATGCTGGAGTAACTCCTTAGTCTGACTCGTTTGCACTAATCCAGGATGGCACGGAAGTTCTACTGGTCCATGGAGGATCTATTGTTGATATGGGGATCATCTTTTAGATTATATCTGTGTGTGTGTGTGTCGTAGCTTTCCCAAATGACTTGTTTTATTCCTTACCGGAGCTAACACAGTTAGCAGTGTTGCTGCAGTCATGCTAACAGGACTCAAGAGTCCAGAAGTACCGGTGTGGCTGTAGATGGATTTATAGATGTAGGTTAATATATTATATGTTGTGGCTTAAGGTTCAGCTTTAGTTTGAAAACCAGCGAGTGCAGTTGCTTCCACATCTCTGTGCTCAGACCCACACTAGCAGCAGTGCAGTGAGACAAAGAGCTCTCCTCCCACTCAGTCACATGCTCTCGCCCACAACCCTCCACCCCCATCTTCCTTGTCTTACATCACAGGCCTCCACTTGGACCAGCCTCTGACTTTAAACCACAGAAACAATCTTTGTGGACAACTTCAGTCCTCGTGCTACGTGCATGAGTCACATGGTCTTACTCTGCCGTGTGGTGGCGCTCTTTGAGCGGGGAAGCGTGTTGACCCCGGAGCTCATCTCGTCCATGAGGTCTCGCCTCATCCGCACCTCTGAGGTGTGCAGACCCAGCTCCTCCTCTGTGTTTATGAGAGTCAGATCCTGCATGCTGAAACTGCGCAGCTTGTCGGACAGAACGCCCTGCCCCTGAATGCCACAAAGAAAAATAAAACATTTGTTATGAGACGAGATGAAAACACGTTTTCTTTTTTGAAGACCAGTTAAGTAAAGGTTCACCAGATGAAAGGTTTAGATGAACTGAATCCAGCAGCTCATTCAGTGTTTGTCTTAAGGGTTACATCTCTAATAATTTATTAAGCTGGACTGAATTTCTAATAGATGTTTAGGATCATGTGACAGAACACTTGATGTTTCTGCAATGAGCTCAACAAGCATGCAGCAGAAGGCTGATGACATGGGCTCACCTTGGTGGCTGCAGTGACAGCAGCATTAGCGGCGAGGTTGAGACCCCGTTTTCCAAACCTCATCATGGTCTCATAACTCCGGTCTTTGGCCTGAGCTATGTACTCGTCTATTTCCTGCAGAGGAAAGATGTTGGAGATGAGAAAACAGACATCAGGGTGTAGACGTGTGTGCAAAGATGACTGAAGCGCACCAGCTTTGTGATGGTCCTACCTTCTCTTTGTTGGACAGCGTTGGGTGGACAAACTTGCGGTAAAGGACACTGGAGCCTTTAGTGTACGGGGAGAGAAGCCAGATCACAAATGCAATCTTTAGCTCAAAATAAAATGGAAACCTGGAGGAAGAAAAGGGCGAGCATCAAGAGAAGAACCAGGACGAGCCTCTGAGACTAAAACTGTCCCACACTTAAACAAAAGTTAGCCAATCATAAACACACCTGGACATTTCTGTTATACTTGAATTACAAATCTTGAGTTTTCCCAAATCTAATCAAAACAATAAAATACCTCTAAAATGACTGAATCCTGGTGTGTCTGTTTATTTAGTGGGGTTGGTTGATTGTAGTAAACAAAGCTAGTAAACAACCAGAGAGCCAAACTCACTTCATTTTCCAGCAGGACTTGGCACCTGCACACAGTAACAAAGCTAGCAGTACCTGGTTTAAGGACCGCGGTGAGATTAGCCTGCAAACTCACCCGACCTTAACCACATAGACAATCTATGGAGTATTGTGAAGAGGAAGATGCAATACGCCAGACCAACGATTCACAAGAGCTGAAGGTCGTTATCAGAGCAACATGGGCTCTAACGCCTGAGCAGTGCCACAGACTGATGGAGTCCATGCCACGCCACATTGCTGCAGTAATCCAGGTCAAAGAGCCACAGCTAAATATTGAGACCTGTACATGTTTATACTTTTCATGTTCATACTTTCAGTTGGCCAACATTTCTAAAATTCTTTTTTTTTTTTTTTGCATTGGTTTTAATTAATATTCAAGTTTCTGAGAAACTGAATTTAGGATTTCCTTTTGCTGACAGTTAATTATCAACATTAAAAGAAATAAAAATTTGAAATATATCAGTCTGTGTGTAATAAATGAATATAATACACAAGTTTCACTTTTTGAATGGAATTACTTAAATAAATTAACTTTACCATGATATTCTAACTAAATGTCCAGCAGCTGTAGTTATTATACTGAACTGAGTTACTATACGTACATAAATCCCTCAGTCCTTCATACAAACTATTTTATTAGAAATCTGAGAAGACTCACCATGATAGAAGCAAGTCTGTGGCCGTCTCTGCTGTAGAAAACAACGCAAACACTATCCAGTACATCATCCACTTTACCTGCAGAAACACAGAAAACAGCACAATCATAAAAATAGCACGTGATGAACACACACACACACACACACACACACACAATCTAAGTTTATCTGAACCCGCTGGACTAAAACTAAACCAAGTTGATTAAAACTGATTTTAAATCATGTTTATTAGAATTGGAAATAGAAAAAGACACTATAGGATTCGGGTGATTTAATTAGTCAAATAGCAGAAAAAGGAGGCTCCAAATATGGCACCCCCCTTTCCCTCTTCATCTCTCTTCCTCCTGTCACACGCTGCTTCTGCCTGAACAGCAATGGAGAGAGAGGGTTACCATGGTAGCCAGCCAGAAGGAGCCCGTTTCTAGGCTGAGCTCCTCCTCCTCCTCCAACTGATGCAGCTATGAGGTAAGCAGGAGGAACCCCACTTATACCATCAACACTGCTGGAGGTTACCGTATTTTCTGGACTATAAGCCGCTATTTTTTTCCCACGCTTTGAACCATGCGGCTTATAATGAGGTGTGGCTTTACTGAAGATTTTCCTTCACCTGCCAGGGGGCGCTTTAGCAGAAAGTGAAACAGGTGGAAGTCAAAAGTGGAAATCGAAGAAAGTGCTCATTTTAATTTAGCACATGCAAACAGCCGCCACGAAGAATTTTTTCTAATCCATACCCCCTCATCATGATAACTACACGTATGAGTTCATACGCTGCCGCATTTAAGTTGAAGGCCATCGATCTGGCAGTAAAGGAGGGAAACAGTGCTGCCGCACGTAAGCTTGGCATGAATGAATGAATCCATGGTTCGGCGCTGGAGACGGCAGCGGGAAGAACTCATTCATGCCAGCTTCACCCCGGGATGATGACAGCAACACAGACAGCGACACTGACATCGCCACAGAAAAGGTATGTGACGAAGCTCTTCTGAGGCTGTTCAACTCCGACACTGAACAAGAGGACTTTAATGGCTTTAGTGCGCAGGAGGAAGATGAGAGCGAATGACTTTTTCTGGTAGGCAAGTGTTTTATTTACTAACCAGGCATGTTTTGTGTGCAGTTTTTATTTTCTAATCATCCAGGGTTTATTAATGCTGTGTCATCACTGTTCTTCTAAACATGCAAATTACCGGTAATAATGTGTCCATTTTGTTTTTATTTTATAACCATCCAGAAATATGAATGCTATCAGTGCTGTTTTCTTTTCTAAACTTGCAGGCACGCTCACTCGTGTTTAAAATTCGTTTTGTTGAATTAAAACAACAAGGGAAAACCTACGTGTAGCATCTTTCTGTCTAATTATCTTATGTTATGGCCATACATGCGCTGTGTGCCGGAGACCTGCATGTGGCTGCTGCGTCGCGGCTTGTATTTGAGTGTGGTGTGTAGAAAACTTTTTTTTTTTTTTTTGTGTGTGTGGCTTATGTCGAGGTGTGCTCTATAGTCTGGAAATTACGGTATTCCCTTCTAGTTGCCCCTAGCAACAAGGATTCATTCGTTAGCTTGTGGGTGATTTTTGACATTCTCTCACAGATCAAACAACCTGGAGTGAAGAGGAGTTTCTATAAAACAGCAGATTTACAAAAAAAGAGAGGGAGATTATTTAACATAGATGTTTGTTGTGTGGTTTCATACTGTTGATCAGACCATCACACTCCATTGGTTAGGTCTGAAACTTTTAAGCCTGTTTCCGTTTTAAAACAAGTGTGGCTTGCATCTGTATTTCCTCCACACACACCATCTGTTGAGTGGGAAAAGCTGTAAAACAACAACACAGCCCTAAATCTAAATGCTAAAGTTAAAACATTTACAGAATGCTAAGTGAGCCAAACTTGGACTAAAGGTTTGGTAGGATAAACCAAACATGAGCTGAAACGTAACGCTGATGTACAAAGCTGCTTCATGTGACAGACCACACACACAGAAACCAGAGCAGTTGTTCTACATCAGCATCGTGTCTGCCAGGCAACCATTTAGACCCAGACTCAAGTTGTGTGATGCTGATTAAAATCATTTTAAAAACCACAAAATAACGAGTGGAGCCAAAAGAAAATGGCAACTGCTGATCAGAGGAGGCAAAACTGTTATCTGTGCAGCCATTTCTTCACCAAAGGGTAATCATCGGGGTTGGGGATTAGTTCAGGATCAATGGCATCCTTGATGCTGAGCAACGCAGCAGGTAATTAGAACTATTCATCCTGGAATATGAAGAGTCAATGTAACAAGTCCTGGTTTGACAAGTCCTGGTCATCTAGTTTGATTTGGATTACACTTTGATTTATTGGATTGGATTGTTTACAACAAAGAAACATTCTTATTTTACCGTTTGTTTCACAGCATTAGTCCAGCAACAGAGGGGTTTAATAAAGTGAGAACCAACAAGCTGATCCATGTTGGAAAAGATTCTAGCAGAACATAAAGACTAGGGATGTCTCGTTCCAATATTGATATCGGATATCGGCCCAAATACACTGTATTGGATTATATCGGACTGCATCAAAAATCTCTGATATTAGCAGTACGCTTCGCTTTAAATTTCATTCCAGCAGTGCCCAAATTCAGCATGCAAAGTCCACGTGATCAGGACGGTGCGTGTTAGCAAAGTAGCAAGGAACAATGTCAGCCATGTGGCTGTATTTTTTGTTAAAGTCAGAAAAAGACAGTTTGGCTCAGTGCAGCATTTGTCATGCACAAGTTTCCCATGGTGGAACAGAACCGGGGAAGATTAATACACCCAGCCTCATTGTGCATTTGAAGCAGGATCACAAAACATTGCATGAGGATTTTCTGAGTGTGTGAAATTGACACTTTAGACACTCAACTGGTAGCAGTTGATCAGTGAACAACATTGTCTTTTCCCAACCTCAGCTGTTCACATTTATGTAACCAAAGGTTAATAAAAAATTGGTCAGTTTTTTATACTTACTGATGCTGGCTTTGTTTTCTGTTCGAGTAAAATCACTTGATCAAGCCTTTTATACATTCCGCACTATAAAATAGGTAAAAGTATGTATGATTTGTGCTGATATCGTATCGGGCTGATATCGGTTTTGATCAATAATGAAAGCTGCAATATCGGTATCGGAGGTGAAAGTTGTATCGGGACATCCCTAATAAAGACTTTTCAACAATAACTAGAAGAAGACTATTCTGACTTTCTTGGGCTTTTTGCTGCAGTCACCAGACTTCAGCTCCACTGAAAATCATTGAAAGAGCAAGAGAAGCTCATCAAGCTTTCATGATGGGACATTTAAGTCATCAGGTTTAGCTCAAGCTCATGGAGTTCCTACAGCTTGAGCGCTGCTACATTCGGCAGCCAGTGACCCAACACCAAACTGTAAAGCTGCATTTTAATGAAAAAAGAAAAAATATATATGTACTTTTGTAAAAAGTACATTTTAGATCCCCAAATTCTTCCAATTACTTTCCAAATCTGAAAAATCTCATTGATCTTAATCTGAATCTTGACAAACCATGATGACCTTACTCTTCATGAGAACATTCATTAAACACTAGATTAAACTTTAAAAGGCTGCACTAGCAACAGCATCTATAATTTCATCTTTCTGTGTTCCGACACCATCACAGCGACCTTATTTGTGTCCTATTTAAACTTCTGCTCCGTAGCTTCAGCTTCATCTCAGATAAACTGATCAAAGTGTTTAATATTAGCATGCATTACGTCACACGGTTGAAGTACTGCTCACAGAAATCAAATCTAGCCATTAACTCTGCAGCATCAAACCTGTGTTCCCTCAGTTCTAAACAGGAAAATACAAAGAGTATAGATAGAAAACAACAGCCCAAAGCAGAAGTCAAACGAGACAGAAAGGTCACCAACGGTCTGCTGCGACAGCATCCAGGGGTGGTACTCACATATTCCTTCACATTCTTCGTTTTGACAGCCTTGTACGAGGCGTAAGCCGGGTACAGCGTCCCAAAGGCGAGGCTGGAACACCAGAGGAGAAGAGAGGAGAGGAGTTCCAGGTCAATGCAAGAGGATTCAGCAAAAGGGCACGACCTCTGGGTATCGACATCTAACAAACACACTCCTTTACCTTAGCCTGGCCTAACTGAGTTCACGTAAACAAAAGGGATCTTTCATGCTGCACCACTTTCCAACTTCTGCTTGAATGAGGACAGTGGTTTTCCGTTTGTTGATTTTTTTTTAAATGGAAAGTAAAATGATGGATGGTGGCTCATGAACACACGCTGGACTGATGACCAATAACAACATTAGAATGGAGATCTGGGAGTCAGGAAGACTGCAGTGGGATAAAATGGAAAAACGCACAGGTCTGCCAGGGGTGGGGCACCATGTGTTAACAAACACACCCACCTTTGGCTGCAACCTTTGCTTTTGTGGGGAGTTCTGCTGATGTGACAAAAATTAAAAAAGGGACAGAAACAAATATGCAACCAGAAAATCACCAGTGTGACTCTGAGCTAACAGCTGTGTTTGTGACTAAAACACTCATTCTAGGAGTTTAAATGTGCATCACACTGGGAATTCTTATGGGATTTGTGCTTCCAGTTGAGCATATCCATTTTTTGTACCCTATTTTGAGCTGTGGCTTCTCGGTCGTGCGTGCAGAGCCTAGAGCTTTACTAAGTGACTCGTAGCAGCCTCCCTCAGCTGCCTGATGCCACAAGCCTCTTTAGGCCCTCATCACAAGTTCACCTCCAGGGGTTTGTTTGATGCCGTCTGCTCTTCTCTCGTTGATTTCGACAACATTGCTTATTATTATTCACCTGTTTTTCATTAAGCTTTGACTAAAATGAAATGCAGCTGCATATTTATGGAGCTGAGAAAGGGATGCGGACGTGTTTGATGCGCTGAGGTCATTATAATGCATATCCAGTCATGCTGTTCATCTCCAATCCTCACATGCCTACCTGAGAAAGGCGGAGGAGCCAGATGAAAGAACTAAAGAAACCATTTTCACCGTTTTCCTTACATAATCCAGGAATATTTAAAGGTTTACACTGCTTCCTCATTTTGATTGCACGGGGATTGTTGTGTTTAAGGTGCATTTGATTGATTCTAGACGAAACACTTATCCATCAACCGCCACAATAACCCGTTTAAAGCTTCTACAAAGAAAAACATGAATGTTTCCCTTGAAAGGCAAGTGAAGTTGAGGCCTGAACGGCATCTGATCACTTAAACATCCACGCAGTAACAATATCACACATCTACTGATGAGTTTGGGATGCGCATTCCTACCATTGGCTGCAATATTCAGCTAAACCATCACATTTAATGAACCATGTCAACACTAAACTGTACACAAGCTCGAGAGCCCAGCCAGGCGGTTTTGTTTGGTTCACTAGTCCGCAGCGAGGCTTGCATATTGATCAGGCCGACTTGGGACAATACAGCAGTCTAAAAACACGACCTGCTCCTTTAGTATGCTAGCCTTGTGTGTGGTTAATTATTGAACGTCGTTAGCTGCCAACGGCTAACGCACGCGCTGGATTGTGCTGCATCATCCCACAGATTACATTGAAACATTAAAACAATTAAGCAGCAGCTTTAAGTCGGCGAACAATCACCAGTCTGTTCGCGGTATGTGTCTACTTTACCAAAAGCACTAGCTCATGTATTCAGACCGAGTGGCTTCTACACCACACCGTGATGAATGGAGAAGCCACTGATGTAGCTAAACACTACAGCAGATGGAGCCCAGCCCATACTCACACAACTATCCTCGAAATAATCCAGGACACCATCTCACTGGCTGTGAGCTCCTTTTTGTTAGATTCCGGTCCAGAAAACTCTAGCTGGCTAGCGAGCTGGACCCCATTCCCCGTCCAGGACTGGGAGTGTTGAGATCGACCAGGAGGCTCCTGCCGCTGTGCTGTCAGGTGAGTAACGGCTGCCGCTGCTGCGGTCTGCTCTGAGCGCTGTTTCTTAAAGGGACATGCCCCTTATCGATACTCATTTCAACTTTCCAGCACAAACGAACAATTGGGTAGTTAGAACGTCCTTTATTTCAGCATTGTTCAGCAATGCAAATAACTTAATTCTCTGTTTTTGGCTTTCAGCTCGATCATTTGTAAGGAAAATCCACATTTACATCAGCTAGTTTCGTAATGTTCTGGAAATTGTAGTTCATTTCAGATTAATGGGTAAATTATCCTGGGAATAAGTGACATATTTCCTATACCCAACTAGCATGTCATTTAACTAGCATGTCATTTTAATCAGTTATGTCGATTTTAAACTAACCTGTGATTATATGACACAACAGCCTGCCTAAGTGAAGTTTGCTCAGGACTAGAGCCCTGCACTGAAGCCCTAGGCCCTCGGGTCGGCCCGGCCCGACGGCCCTCGGGCCGGGCTTCGGGCCAACGACTGTGTAATTACCTCGGACACGGGCCGGGCCGGGCGCCTTTATTTTTATTCGAAATCATTAAAAAAATTAAAACACTTAAACGCAGCAGTAGAGCCCTGTGCGGGACTGTTTTCTTCATCCCGCTCCGCTCCCGCTGAATTTCTGACCATTACAGCCTGCAACCGCAACGTGTGTGTTACACTCCCGCCCGCACCTGCAGCGTGCATGTCTACTCCCGCCCGCACCTGCAGCGTGTCTACTCCCGCCCGCACCTGCAGCGTGCACGTCTACTCCCGCCCACACCTGCAGCGTGCATGTCTACTCCCGCCCGCAACCGCAAAACTCGGAGAAATTATTACCTCACAATAAAAGAGATGTATTGAGTTTGCGTCCTCAACATGTCATTTTATAGGTTATCCGCTTTCACAGCAGTGCTGCGCTCCGTTTCAATCAGGCTGTACAGCAGGATTTCCCCTCGTAGCGATATTTTCTCTAACTCTGATTGCTTCATGCTATAGACCGTTGGAAAGCTGCTTTTATGTACTTTTAGGAACCATTGGAATTATTTGAATCTGATCAACCATTCAAAAGTTATAAAACGGAGCATTTTGGATGACAAACTCGCACGTCTCTGAATCTGTGTTGTGATTCGTTGCGCTCAAGACAGGAAATCCCGGTGGCTACCATAATGTATTGTATATGCACGGAAAGCCCCATTTTTAATCTTTTCAGCACTTTTGGAATTTTAATGATATCTTGAACTAGAGCAGGGATCAGCAACCCGCGGCTCTTCCATCCATCTGCCGCTCTCTGTGCTTGTAAAATAATGAATGGGTATTTAAATAAAATGCTTTATATTTTACTGAATTAATTTTATATCTGTAAGTCAATTCTATGTGAAGATTGTCTGCGTAAACCTGAACAGTTCCAACCCAGTCTTACTGTGAGACCGTGTTGGGTCACGCTTGTGCGTAATCATATGCGCTCATGAGCTGAAGAGGATGTGAGATTCTGGGATTCTCCTCAGACGGCTCCTGGATGTGTCGCACATTGGAGACAGGAACAAGCACTATTCAGCCAAAGTTTCATAATCAGGGAACATTTTCTAAGTGACAAGTCTCTCTGAGAGACAGGGTTTGGAAAACACTCGCTTCAGTGGGAAGCTTCCCGCATGCGCTTCTGCGACGCTCGGATCCTGCACATCTTTTAACACATTGGTCAGGATTGACGCACTTTGTTTTCATTTAGTTGGTTAAAAAAAGTCGGGCTTGGGCTCGGGCCGGAGAATCCTGAAAACCTTTTCGGGCCGGGTCGGGCTGGGGCTCCACCCCCTCGGGCCGGGCCGGACACGGGCTCAGATTTTAGGCCCGTGCAGGGCTCTACTCAGGACAATAAAACGGTGGGCAGAACCATGTTTTAATAAGTACATGTGTGAATAATAGCTTATAAGCAGTAACACGAATAGCCGTAGACATGTTTACTGCACATATTAAACCTAACATCTTTCTTTGAGTGACCTTGATGTTAAAAAGCACAACTTTTAACATCATTCAGTTTGAGAAGTGGCCTTAATGAGTGTTAGACTACTTAGATTAACAACAGATCTGGCAGGCTGAAAACTAACAACACGTAACCTACTGGGAAAGCTAGCATCTATTGTCTGATTTCAGGTCTACAACGTTCCACTTTTTAATTTAAGACAAACAGGTTTTAATATTTTGTGTTGTGCTTCATTCTCATAAAAACATATCAGTTTGAAATATGATCCATACAATAATCTATAATTTGAATTCATTCAGAAAAATCTGCATCTTCAGAATAAAATAAGAGTAAAGGAAAATCCAAATTTAGGCTTTTTATTGCATCTCAAAGTATTACAGACACTGATTTTGCACAAAAAAGGTCTTTTTAGAGAACAATAAGAATTAAACCAAAGTCATTTTTGGAAATTTTATTGTGAAAAAAAAATCAGACTGCTAAGATCAATATATATATTGATACAATGTTAATGGCCAGTAGTTCTGTTCAGCTGCAACTGTGATCCTCAAACATTGCTGGAAGTCTGCAGTTCACCAAACCTCTGGGACAAACACATGTTGGAAAAGTAAAACAAACTGCCCTCTTCGAAGCTTTCCAGATCATTATCGTGTGTATAAAAGTAAGGTTTCTTACTCTAAAAATAGAAATAAGAAAACTAAAAATACAAAACTTTGGTCTGCTTCCCTTGGTTGGCTGGTTAGTGAAGTAACTCCAGCCACAGACAGCAGAAACAATCAGCTGTTGAAAAACTAAAACAAAGAAAAAAACCTACAAAAACAGATTAGCCTTGCATCTATTGAAGAAATAACTTGTCATTGAAGGATAGCCCAGAACTCAGGATTCATCAGTTGCTTCTATAGTAGCTGAACCTCTGCTCTAAAGGCACGTCAGCTTTTTTTTAACTCCCTCACTCAAACATCTTACATTTACAATGAAAACAACAGAACACACTGACCTTAAATACAATGTTAATCAAAAGAGAAATTAAAAAAACAACTAGACAAATTTGAGCATACTGTGTTACAGCGATGGAGGAACCCTCCCATCGAAGCGTTGATTAGCCCCTCCCTACCCAACCCCCCCATTACTGAAATGTTCTTTTTCCCAAAATTCAAACGTTCACTGCCCCCAACAACATACA